CTGGTTGATCAATGTCAATTGAAAATCACAGAATTTCTAAACATCAACAAATTAAACCACTTCCATCCATGTTGTCCTACTTATGAAATTCGCGGTCAACCGAGTTGACTGACTGTGCTTGGTATTCGTCTGCACAAATATCTGGTGTTGTTGCTCTGTCTGTAATGCAACTAGTGAAAAGTGTTTGGATGTGCTGCTGACGTCAAGTTGTCAAGTTGTGAATATCACTTGTGCGAGTGGATTATGAGACCAGGAGATGGTGCAGCAGAACGCAACCCGATTGGACGTGATGCAATGGAAATCAACACAACGCAACGGAACGCAACGCAATGGAATGCAATGGAATGCAATGGAATGCAATGGAATGCAATGGAATGCCATGCAATGCAATGAAATGAAGTGCGATACAAAATAAACCGATAGTATTTAGTTGACTTCACTGTGCTACTGAAATGCTCGACAGTAGTTTGTTGTTTAGTGGAGTGCATGATCGGGAATTCGTTGTGTAAACTGAATATACTACTGATGAGGAGATGGAGAATTGTTGAGTTTATGCAGTAGTGTTGGTGAGTGATGAGATTGTGGAGTGTGGAGCGTAGTGCAGATTATGTGTAGAAGAGTGTGTGGTGTGTTTGTTGATGTATGAAGAAGATTGCGTTGAGACGTGCAAAGCTGTTGCAGATGTGAGTGTGAAGTGTGTTGTTGTGAGCTGTGATAGTGTTGTCGACTACAAATCGTGCATCAGAAAAGGAGAGATGGTTGGCAGTCCCCTGCACAAGGTCGGACAGGGCATCTGATGCCCACTCTCCTGAGGCATGAAACATCCGCTACTTTCGGATGGCCTTTTTCCAAATTAAATACATCTCATGTGTATCACTTACCTCACATCACCCCACATAACCTCACAGCTAACTCACCCACCCACCCACTCAATCAATCAATCTATCACTTCACTTCACTTCACTTCACCTAACTCACAATCACTCAACTCCCACTGATCAATAACCAGACACAAATTCCTCACATTCACTCTACATCCATATCCAACAACACATTCTTCATCACTACAATTCGCAACACATACAACTCAACCACCAACCCACTCAACCAATCACTCACTTACTTCATCATACGCACACACAACACCATTATTCATTCACAATCTCTACTGAGGTTGGCATGTTTCCCAAAATAATCACTGAATACACCAAAAGTATTCACATGCACACAAACACACACAATTCGTAAATGTTGTGAATCGCTGATCGTCTATGTTGTAACGGCTGACTGCAGGTTATGATGAGCAGCGTTTTATATCGATCGGTTACAGTGGACACGTAAACACGTACGGACAACCTAGTGCCCTGATTGGCCCCGCTTCGCTGTCTGTCCCAGCCAGTTGAGTCAAGAAACACAAGTCACAGCCTCTGAGTTATGAATCATTGTATTTCAAACATACTTTGTTTATATACCAATCAAGCATACCACATCGTACCATAAAATAGAAAAAAACATTTTGTACAATATTCAACAAGTGAACAGATATCGACCAATAGGAAATGTTCATTTAAAGTCCAAGGACTCCATTGGACTTAACATGATAATTATTGGTCTATTCCACCGCATCCACAACAGTCTAGTTTCCGAGTGCATTGATGTTAAGAAGGTGGGAGAGTGAAGAAACGTGTGTGTGAGTACGACGCTAACGACGTCAACGACGCTAACGATCGACATGAGAATGTGGAGGAGAGAAGAGGAGAAGAAAATGTGAGAAGACTGTCTTGTGTTTCAATCAATCAGTCAATCGATCGATCAATCAATCAATCAATCAATCAATCAATCAATCAATCCATCAAACAATCAATCATTCACACACAAACAGATATACAGGATCAGTGCAATATAACTTGTTGGTACTGCATCCATTATCCACATAGTATTAGGCATAAATCAAGTCAGGTCAACCACTGGTTGATCAATGTCAATTGAAAATCACAGAATTTCTAAACATCAACAAATTAAACCACTTCCATCCATGTTGTCCTACTTATGAAATTCGCGGTCAACCGAGTTGACTGACTGTGCTTGGTATTCGTCTGCACAAATATCTGGTGTTGTTGCTCTGTCTGTAATGCAACTAGTGAAAAGTGTTTGGATGTGCTGCTGACGTCAAGTTGTCAAGTTGTGAATATCACTTGTGCGAGTGGATTATGAGACCAGGAGATGGTGCAGCAGAACGCAACCCGATTGGACGTGATGCAATGGAAATCAACACAACGCAACGGAACGCAACGCAATGGAATGCAATGGAATGCAATGGAATGCAATGGAATGCCATGCAATGCAATGAAATGAAGTGCGATACAAAATAAACCGATAGTATTTAGTTGACTTCACTGTGCTACTGAAATGCTCGACAGTAGTTTGTTGTTTAGTGGAGTGCATGATCGGGAATTCGTTGTGTAAACTGAATATACTACTGATGAGGAGATGGAGAATTGTTGAGTTTATGCAGTAGTGTTGGTGAGTGATGAGATTGTGGAGTGTGGAGCGTAGTGCAGATTATGTGTAGAAGAGTGTGTGGTGTGTTTGTTGATGTATGAAGAAGATTGCGTTGAGACGTGCAAAGCTGTTGCAGATGTGAGTGTGAAGTGTGTTGTTGTGAGCTGTGATAGTGTTGTCGACTACAAATCGTGCATCAGAAAAGGAGAGATGGTTGGCAGTCCCCTGCACAAGGTCGGACAGGGCATCTGATGCCCACTCTCCTGAGGCATGAAACATCCGCTACTTTCGGATGGCCTTTTCCCAAATTAAATACATCTCATGTGTATCACTTACCTCACATCACCCCACATAACCTCACAGCTAACTCACCCACCCACCCACTCAATCAATCAATCTATCACTTCACTTCACTTCACTTCACTTCACCTAACTCACAATCACTCAACTCCCACTGATCAATAACCAGACACAAATTCCTCACATTCACTCTACATCCATATCCAACAACACATTCTTCATCACTACAATTCGCAACACATACAACTCAACCACCAACCCACTCAACCAATCACTCACTAATTCCATCATACGCACGCACGTTTTGATCAATCTATTTCCGGGCTTGAGATGCAGAGTGATTATGCCAGGTGGCACATCGGCGATGACTGTGCCGAATCTTAGTGCCAGCCATTAACAGGTCGTGGTCTGTGTAAAGTTGCATTTGACCGTCCCCGTTATCTTACCTGCGACCAACGAGTCCCCATCGGCCACCTAAACGACTCTCTTATGTTCCTAGACGCCCGACCTGAGCATTCAAGTCTCCGGCTAATACTAAAATATCTGTCGAAGGCACTGTCTGGAGAAGAACAGATAACTGGTGGTAAAACTCATCCTTGATTGCATCCAGGCTGCAATCTGTCGGGGCATAGGCGGAGATGACGAAAAGACATCGTATCTCATGCCGATTTCTTCTCACTTTGATGGAACTTTCCAATCTAACAGCACATAACCGACTGTTAATGGGGATTCAATCGATTAGTGCTGCCTCAGCTCTAGCGCTTAGTGCGACACCAACGCCTGCAAGACCAGACGAAGATGCCACAGGGTCCCCGGATAAGCACACGTAAAACAAGCTTTTCGAAGCGACAGATGGAGATTGAATTTGTAGTACTTCACCAGAGTCTTGAATACGGGTCTCGGATAGACAGCAGACATCGATATTAGGACTTTCCAAAGACATAGCCAGCCCTATCTGTTGTCCGACCTGCATAAATGTGCGAACGTTGAAGGCAGCCAGTTTGAATGATGCACGTGGTTTCAGAAAAACTGCTTCAGTTCTCGTATTCGGTGGTAACATACAATTTTAAACCGGACAGTGACTCGAGAACGTTTAGATACAGTCGAATTTCCACCAAAGACAAGCCGCTGTATAAGAATAAAAGGGGGTGAATAATGCGGAAAATAATAATAATAATAATAATAATAATAATAATAATGACAATAATAGTAATAACAATAATAGTATTAGTAATGACAATAATTGTAATGATAATAATTTGAATCAATTGATTGTTTTTCGAAGCGAGAAAAGTAATTTCCATAGACATAAAGAGTTCATCATTTGTGTGTGGGCTGTGATACTACCCGGGTGCTCAAACCGAAGCGGGTGGTTATCTTAGGGGGCCACACCCCAAGCCTTTGACTTAAAGGTCTAACTCACAAGGCAGTGGAGCATTGTAAGGAGATGCAATCCCATGATAGCCGGTGACCAACGATTTGTTCATACGCCATTTGTTCCCGGCAGGATACTGTAGCCCATGTGCACCATTGGTTTGTGATCCGGTTAAAGCGCCAGACATTCGCTTTTCGTCCTCTCATTTTCGTAAACAACACCCCCGCCACGAGAAGGCAATGAGCAGGATTTCCCTGGCAGAGGATGTATACACACGGCCGTGTGAGAGTATTTCGAGAAGGAGAGCGAAATCTCCCCACTGTCGACCATACCAGGGAATTCGGGGGCGAAAACATTTTTCATTTTCGACAGCTTTGTTCTAATATCACACCTTCGGTAGTTATCCTTACGTGTTTTTAATATCTTTCCTAATTCTTGGTAAAAGTTCAATACAAAGTGTCCCAATAGTACGTGACTACGGTTTAAAGCAGTGCTCACATTTCCTTCAGGTTTTACAAACTTTTCAGCAGTTAAACTTTCTCGAGTGGATTGTTACTTAATTCTCTGTTACTTCAATTCTCACATAAATGCATTCTTTCCTATTAAACGTCGACAATTAGGTATGTTTAGTTTTCATGAGTTACTATGTTCCTGATAGTTTGTAGCCACTAAATGATGTCTTGTATTCTGTTATGTACCAAAAACATTCCGATTGATGTTATTGTTTTTCATTGAATGTTTTGTTTAAAAACTTCTATAGCTAGGAATATATTATTATCTGTCAACAGCTCTTATCGCTTTGATACTTCCGTACCCTGTACAAATGGGAATTGGGGACACAAGTGTGAAAGTTGGTGTTCGTGTTCGACCATTGTCAGACAATGAAGTGAATGACGGTAGTTCGACCTGTTTGTCATATCCAAATGAAGGAAATCAGCTAATAATTGGAAATGACAGGCTTTTTGGCTTTGACTATGTTTTCAAGGAAACAGATTCTCAAGAGCATGTTTACAAAAAGGCTGCACTTCCAATGGTTGAAAGTATTCTCAAAGGATATAATGCTACTCTGTTTGCCTATGGTCAAACTGGAAGTGGGAAAACATATACAATGGGTAAATGTATCTCCGAAAGTGTGGTAGAAGAATCCACTGGTATTGTTCCTCGAATTATTAAGGATTTATTTGAGAAAATACCGAATTATGAGTATGAGTATACAGTGAAGGTTTCATTCCTGGAGGTAATATACACATTTTTGTATTGAGTTATTTCCCAGATATATAAAGAGGATATACATGATCTGTTAGGCGAAGATGTATCTGCATCCCTACAAATACGTGAAGAGAACCAACTTGTTAAGTTATTTCCTCACTTCGTATTTAGAGTTTACTGCATAGATTCCAAGCCACCACCACCACCTATGACCATTTTGTTGAATTCACAAGTCTCGTTTCTCTCTCCCCGTCTATGTCGTCCCAGGATATTTCCATATCCAGTGTTATCCATTCCGACTTTGGTGTTTAGGTCTACTGTCAGGATGATGAGATCCTATCTGGAGTGCTTCGCTATGATTGACTGCAGCCTCTCATAGAACTGATCTTTATGGTCGTTTTTGCAATGATTGGTGTGTGCATATCCTTGGATAAAATTCATTATGATTCCCTCCTTCTTTGTTTTGAAGGACATTTTGATTATTCTGGATCCTTGAGAAACCCGTCCTATAAATGCATTACGTACTTCTTTGGACGGCATCAGAGCGATTCCCTGAGTGTTGAAAGAATTATGTTCTTCGTGACTGGAGTACAGAGATATCTCTCCCGTATCTAGCTTTTTCTGTTCAGCATGTGTTCATTGTTTTTCACTGGTTCCGAAAACCGTCAATTTGTATCTCCGTGGTTCCGTAAATATTTTAGTAGTACTGTGGTGTGTGCTACTTATATTGACATAAGTAGTAGATGATGTTAGTCGTGAACAGAATGTCTAGCAGCAGAGAGACAAGAGGAGCGAACAGTAAAGAATGGGAACGGAATGCAATTTTTATGAAAGTCCAAGAACAATGAAGTCTGAGTCATTATGAGACAATTGAAGGACATTTTGCAAATTACGTATTTACTATTTGATTGTTAGATTTTATTAAAAGGTTCTGTAATTTTGTGTCATATGCATTCGACTGCTCCCCACTGGTGTTCGTGTTCACTACAGTATATACGGTCTCCCACATTGTCCGAACGTTCCTGGCCTAACTGGAACAGTGGTCACATCTCCGGAAGAAGTTCTTTATCTTCTTCGCTGTGGCTCAACAAAAAGAAGCGTTGCGAGTACGAAGCATATGAGCGTTTGTAGAAAACTTTACTCTTTAGTGATGACACCGGTCGAATGTAGGGTGATGTTCCTGGAATACTCTCCTTACTTTTCTTAAATTACAGAGTGAAAACGTTAAGTGTGTCATATTTTTTACGTATTTAAGTATTCAGATTAACGAAGTGCTATTAGAGACACAGGCAAGTCGTTTGGAAGTAGTCAAGCCATTTAATTCGTGGTTCTGGAGAAACATCCAATTATTACCGAGGGGTGTGTATACAGTTTAGGCGTTTGTTCTATATTAATTCTTGCAGTTACCTAGATACACGAACTTCTCGAATACTTCTATCTGCTTGTAGAAAAATTTATTCTTTAGTGATGACACTAGATACTATGTTTTTTCCCACCGGTCAAATGTAGTTTGATGTTCCTAGAATACTCCCCTTACGTTTCTTGAAGTTGGATACAAACACGGAAATATAGTAAACCAGAAAGACCGTTTCAGGACAGAGAAGGCACCTCCATCACTGAAATTCAAGGACAGAGGAACAGATGGGTGGAACACTTCGAGGAACTCTTAAATAGACCACCTCCATTGAGCCCATTATTAGACATCGAAGCAGCACACACAGACCTTCCTGTGGATGTCACTCCATCAACGATCGAACAAATCAAGAGTGGGAAAGCAGAAGGACCTGGAAATATACCGGCTGGGACGCATTATAGTGTCATTGATACTTCGTTCCGTTCGCCGATTTCTCAGCGATGTCGTGATCAATTCAAACATAAGTATTAAAATTATGCCAAACGAATTTATTTGTGTAGTAGCATACTGGCTAACGCTCCTCTTCAAGAAGGCAAATATGGTATAGGATTTTTGCATCGATTTAAGAACTTCACAAATGCATTCGAGTATTGGTGTTTCAGTAGAAAACTTATCATTCCAACTTACATTCTCCTCAGATTTTTGTTTCTCTGCATTCAGTTGGGATTCCAATTCACATATTTGAGTTTCTAAATTAATCTTAGAAACTTTAGATGACGATGCCTATGAAATAAATAAAAAGAGCAAGAATAAGCAAAATAAAGAACTGTTGACTAGTCAAATCAGATCACTACATTTTTATAGAGAATAAATAAGTGGAATTCATATCCTAATGGCATTACTTTACGAAGCCTGTTTACAGAATCGACATTCTGCTGTAACTTACATCAATAAATTAATAAACCATATAGCACGGACGTATGTTGTTATATGTTTGCCCAGTGACTACTTATATTCAAATGTAGCTTGACAATTTGGACAGATTCATCAATTGGTCAGTCTGGTTAGAAAAGAATAAAAAGTACAACCTACTTGGATGCTATGTAGTTGGCGTAAACGAGATGAGAGCATTTGACCAGTCGAATCAGGTGGACCGGAGGCATCTGTCGACGATATTTCACCGGCATCCATAAGTTTTTTTGCAAACCGTTAATCTCTTGTGTTTGACATTGAATCGATTCAGAGGGACTGATCACTTCTGAACCAGATCAACCCAACAGCCAATAGCTTCAGAAATCGTTTCCTCATCTCGATGTGGAGAGTTGGTATTCTTTCAGTCTATTACTCTACTCACCAACGTCTCGCCTAAAGGGAGTCAGTAGTCGGAGCCTGCGTGATTATCGTGACCAATGGTTGGAAGAACAGGGTGATATGGTGTAAAGTTCAATACAGTGGCACAGATGCACTTACTACTTATCTTCCTTTCCATCTTTATTTTCAGTGTTCCTCCATATGTTCCTCCTTTGAGAATCATATGTCCAACATGTTGTCATTCATACTATCATTACTACTACTATGACATCAATTACTTAGCTATTTATCGACTTAATTTTGTCACAGTGTTGATTTAGTAGGAAAATATGGACCAAAGCAAATCTGTATTTGAGTCTACATAGATTAAAACTAACTGAATTCATCAACTCCTAAAGATTAAATACTTGCTACGAGTTGACGGTCTACGATTTGATTCTTGAAAGTATAATATATGTACACTACTTAAAGATTACATACTAAGAAAAAACAGTTGTTCAGTTTGCTTATTGGTTTTCTAGATAAAAGCCAAATCATGTCAACTATCTCTACCTAGGTTTGTACCCATATTCTACAATATATCAATAGTACAAAAAAATCCTGGCTATCCAGATAAATATGACAGGCGATGAAGAGGAGAGTGAACATTACACATGTACTCACATTATTATCAGTCACTACCGTAAAAGGTAAACTGCATTCAGCTTCAACATTTTTAAATTCGTCATCCGTAGTAAACGGACTATTCTAAAGAAAAAAAGATGAACAAATAAAAATATTAATCAAGCAACTGAAATTATCCGAAATATTTGATGATACTGAGTATAAGTAAGTCCGCATAGAGCTAGTCCCGGTCCTTTAGAACCACAGTTGACCGTAAGCTTAACGAATCTACCTTGTGAAAAATAAGTCTACTGAAAAGAACGCCAACCACAGAAAACTAATTAGACCTTCAGCTGTGACTTGATGGGTCTTCATATAGAAGATTTATAGTGTCGAATTCGGGAAGTCGAGACTTTTTGAAAGTCAAGATGCCGACGCTCTTTCTGGCAACCGAAAACAATGACGAATAAATGGACGTGGAATGTTTGAACAATGTGAGAGACGGAATGAGTTTTTAACATAGTCGCAAAAATAAGACAAAACAATCTGGCTGTATTTGGAAGAAGCGAAACCCATTGAATATAGTCTGGGTAGAAAAGGCAAACTTTAAAAAAGGTGTTGTCTTATTACGGTCATGAAGCACACGATCCTTCCCATATACAAGGTGTTGGCCCATAAATGCTTTGATAGGACCAAGGGTGGGGAGAGTCCGCTCTTCCTCTCGAAATGCTCTCACATGGCCACATGTATACATTAAAGCATCTTTCAAAATAAAAGCGGACATGATTACAATGAACATCATCCAGTGCTACCAAATCACCAACAGTAGGAAGGAGAATGACAAAGACTAATTTCATGAGAGGCTGTAGCTCATCCTAGAGAATTGGTCAGCAAGAGATCTGACCATTCTGGTTGTGTACAAGACTGCCGCTTCTTTTCGAGTACCTATCTGGACTCTGACCATGCTTTGATCTGCGCCAATCTTGCCTTACTTTTCTCTGGACAACGAAGTGACCACCACCAATGGATTGATGTTAGCAAGCTGGTTGCAACTTCTGTTGCTAGTAAGTATCGAACCGAGCTAGTTTCTAGGCTAGCTACCATCCCACCGAAAAGTATAGATGAGCATTGGTTGCAATTGCATGACGTCATGAAAATGGCGGGTACAGTCAGTTGTGGGTTCGCGAAACGTCCCGCTTATAAGCACTGGGTTTCTTCAGGCTCCTTACAACTCATTGAAGCCCGTCGGTCTACTCCGGGTGACCGTGAGTTTGACCACAAACGAAGGATGTTACGTAAGGAAATTGGGCAAAGCTTGCGTAAGGACCGAGAAGCTTGGTGGTCGGAGAGTGCTAATGAACTGGAAGCAGCAGCTGCACCTGGTAATTACCGGAATCTCTTCCCAATTATCCGAGCCACTGGCAACAAGAAGTGTGGTGTGAGTGAAACGATCTGCGAGGATGATGGGATGCCAATCACTAACATCCACCGACGTCTTGGACGATGGGCAGAATTTTTCGAAGGGCAGTTCAACTGGCCTGCTGCTCCGGCAACATCGGTCAGACTGTCCTGCCCTCCATGGCCGGTGATGACTGATCCACCGAATGAGGTGGAAGTCCCCAAGGAACTCCAACTCTTGAAGCGTTACAAATCACCTGGCCCAGATGACTTACCTCCGGCTCTTTTAAACATGGTGGTGACTTTCTGACTAAGGAATTGACGACGTTGTTTACAAAGGTTTGGGAACTAGAGAGTGTACCAACGTCATGGAATGAGTCGATAGT